ACGCTATTTTAAATTTAATCTCGAAATACTACAGTATTTGTAGATATATTGTAGTGTAAAATAAGATAGTTCATAAATACATTATATTATATATGGTAGATGATAGAATAATTATAAGTTAATGTAAACTAAAAATCATTTGAATGTCATTTAATTGCAATGAAGGCTGGATTTATGACTCCATCCTCGTGTCTGATGTCTAGGTCTGAAACACCGCTATTGACATAAAAATCAGTAATAATAGTGCGCTTTGTGTGGACCGGAGTGTCAGAGTTTAGTGATGAATATAGGCTCGCATTTTGGGACCAAAGTTTTGTGGGCCTAAGACTGCACTTCAGATTCTGTATGATATTACCAGAAGTGAACACTTGTACGATATGTTGGATTACACCCAAAGGAATGGCTGCCATCGATATTAAGGCCAGAGACCATCCAACCCATTGAGCCCATGGAGGGTATATATATTTGCCATACGTTATGACCTCCTCATCGAATAAGAGACCAAAGACCTCTTTGTAAAGAATGATTATGATTGCAATCGGGGAACAAGTGGTGATCATAACCACAATATGTGAGCGGATTAAAGTCGATGGCTTCCAACCCGTCATATGCTTGAGGTCTGCGAAGAAGTTTGAAATTCCTGACAATTGTTCAATAAACAATCATTTGTCAAATGCTTCTCATAAAATGAACCATAAAACCATACCATATATATAGGCCACAATAAATATTTCTAAGAGTCCCACAATCAGACACGGAATGCCGGCCGCGTATGTGTCCATCAAAGTCAAGATATAAATACCAGCGTTTGTGCAAAGGGGTAAACCACATAAAAACCAAATCACACCACTTACGGCAACCACTATTGGCTTGTTGAGTTTATATTTAGAATTTCTCTGTTAATTAAATAATTATATAATTAATTAATTTTATTGAATTATGTCCACAATTTACTAACCAATAGATCAAATATATAAGTGATGACAGTCTCAACCATTGCGAACTGGGAATCAATTCCCAACAGGAACAACATGGCAAAGAACATCATCGACCAGACCATAGACAGTGGCATTTGTGATAATCCTTCAGGAATCACAATGAATGCCAAACCTATTGTATTAATAATTTGTTAATACAGTATTTAGTATTCAAATGCCATCCTACTATAGTACCAGTTCCACTCTGAACAATCTCGTCAATTGGTTTGTTTAAAGTATGAGCCATATATCCAACCATTGCAAATACAACAGATCCACAAAAAATTGATGTTAAAAAATCTCCGATTCCAAC